ACACACACACACACACACACACACACACACACGCGCGCGCAAACACACGTACGCGCGTATGTGCGCAACGTACGCATGTACGCACGTATGCGCGCAAACACACGTACGGTTGGAACATCGCGCGAGTTTTGAGCGAATTTTGAACGGGATTTTTTGGTGGAAATGAATGAAAAAACAGAGAACATACACTGCGAGAACGCGGCCGGTTAATAGAGATTTCCGGATAACGGATAGCCGGACAAAGGAGGTCGGACTGTATCATGTTCTGCGTGATTTTCAATTTCGAGTTCTTGTGATTTATTAACAAACATGAATTGGCTTTATATCACAATGTATATCTATTATACACGTTTCACAATTATACGCAATAGTGCACAATTCATGTGCTTATCCGCCGTACTAATTTAATATTCAAGAAAACCATGTAACAGTAGGCATCGACGATATAAGTATTTTTCTTTGATGAAATATGTGCGGATTACAACATATTATTAATATAAAATCAGCTAGGTTTTTCCCCAGTAAATTTAGCTACGTTGGTTCTGCATGCTTCCTTTTGCCTATTGCCTATATAAGTTGTATGATAACTACAACCAGTGAAAAAGGTACCATGGAATCTTCTGTGAACGAAATTAACGATATGCCTTATATACCGTTATACCTGGTAGACGCACGTATCGTTTATACCTTGTAGATGCGCTGTCGTTTTTAAATCTACAAGCCCGTCCCAAGCTTTTTAAAAAGGGAGGTGGCATGACAGGAGTACTTAATATTTTCTGTGAAATAATGTGCGCGAAGCGCACATGATGAGCACGAAGTCCCTCACGGTCGGGGTCCAAGTCCCGCTTAAGGGCCCTGGAAGCTCAGTGATAAAAACTACTCGTAAACGCAGCACCATGCAGCGTTCTAATTGTTACTAAATAAGTACTATATATACACATGCTCATCTCATGTCACCTCTGCACTGCCCTGACCCCCGCTAAATAATAAGTCGGCTGATCATATCTATTCTAGCGAATCAAAGTTCTCAAAAAATTAGGTCATGTTACAATACACAATTAATCCGCCACCAATAAAATAAAACTCATAAAGTTAGTCTGCGAATTTCAAGTGACTATATCGAAGACAGAGAAACACGAGTCGATCAACACTATACGGATCCCAGTAGACTTCTGTGCCTGATAGAGAAACCATGGCTTCTCCTGTAACAACAGTACAAGTAAGCATCACGTTAAATGTGCATCTATTGCACCAATCTATTGTAAATTGACAGAATTGTAGCTCGTGCCACATTGCTGTATTAATTGTTAACTAAAGTTATGTGCTAAATAAAGAATCTATTATTTGTACCTTTCACATTTCTTATGTCAACCGCATCTACATTTGCCACAGGAATGATGAAACGTGAAATGAGTGACGTTTCTAATGCATACTTCCAAGAGCGTATTAAGTATGGATCATTTTCATTACGGGTAAACCGGAAAATACAAGACAAACGCAGTGTATATTGCCATGTAAAACCGATTCATTGTTTATTACAGGAACCTGAACTAGAAGTAGAAATCACAGAAGACGTCGTCAGCCTGGTAGGTATATCATTTAGTATCCACACAGCCAAGTTTTTTCCTTGTTTCCTTGTTTGCTCCAAAAACTCAATTATGTCTAACATTATGTTTTCTTAACAACAGCAATCAAAGGGGAGGCGTACATGTGGAGAGTGCGGAGCTCTCAATAAAATAGGATCTAAACAATGTATCTGTGGGTTTTTGTTCGAGAGGAACAGCCACCTCGTTCCAAACCGTGAAGAAAAAGAAAAACTAAAGAAAAAACGTTTTTCCCGGGTGATGAAGTCGACAATCAACAGCGTAAGTTAGCTAGAAATGGACGTTGTGCATTCAAACCTAATTTTTAAAGAAAAGTTTGCTGAAACTATGATGCAAGGATACTTATTCGTATGGTGCCTACTGTCTAATAGTAAACAATGGATCGATATAGTTACATTTACAACTTGCTTTGATGAAATGAGCTAAAAACAAGTACAACATGGTTTTGTTTGCAATTTTCACAAACAAAATATTCGTAACACCAGGTTTCTAGATCGTCACATACCATCTTATATACACATTAAAAAGTGTATTTCTACATGCATCCGTACTTTATTTTGCAAACAAAATAATTGTCCAGTGAAAGCTCATGAACTTCGACTCTCTATTCTAGCTGTCAATAATGGAAGACGCCTTTGACGTTGAAGCCTTCCTTTTCGTTAAGAGAAGAGTGAATGTTGGACCCAAAATTGTAACACAGCTTTTGTCATGGAGCAGTGAATCGAGTGAAAAAGAACTAACTAGCGAACAAAATATGCGTAAATTTAATGAAATGCTACTGCGCATAAAAAGGAACAGTATGTTAAATTTGTAATGAAATCATATATTCTTAATTGACAGTGTAATACAACACTGATATATTTATATAATCACATAAACATGCCATATATAACAATCAAGCATTCATAAACCTTTCTGCTATCTGTTATCTGTAAAGTGTGCTAACGGCAATTGCAATTCTTTTTAGAACTCATGCACTAAATACTTCTGTGTTTCTTTTAGAGACTGCACAGCGATCTTCAACGAGGACCGGAGCAGCTAGGCTGCTAACAGTACCAAACGATCCACCTACAACGGCTGAACAGCCTCCTTCAGCTGCTAGTACTTCTGCTGCCGTTACTGCTGGTGCTACTGTTGAAGAGCCTACCCTTCATGACCACATCTATTTTAAATAGATGTGTAAAATAGTTAGGGTCCTTTAGTTGTCATCGTCATCATAGTCGTCCAATGCTTCCGTCAATATCAAAATTTCATTATCAAAGTCGTCATCATCGCTACGGGCAGGCATTGCAATGCTCCTTATTGCCCCCTTGAAATCTACCACTCCCAGGCTCAGTTGATTTTTGTGGTAGCTCAGTCTCTTATATAGAAGGGCAGCAGTAGTCGTCACTTCAACTCCATCACAATCTAACATATATCCTCTGCTGCCGGAGAAGATATGCTTTACCTCTCCTGCAACATCAAAGTCAACATTGTTCAAAACATATGTAATAACCATATATATGCATCACTTTGAAAGTTAATAATACCAAATTGGTTTATATTCACATGATCAGATTTGAGGTGCTTTTACTAAATTACGTTTCAAAATTAAACACTATACTCTAGTGAATGGAGTAATTAAAATGTGAGAATAGCAGTTCATACCATAATCGCACGTCTCCAGTGCTGCTTCTATGACGGCGACTTGTTTCTTGTGATATACAAGGTAGCTGTGCATTTCTTTCAGCACCAGCGACCTCTCCTCCAAACAACGCCGCTTTGCCAGTGCTAAATCCACTACCTTTTTCTTGGTGGAAAACGGTACACCTGTCAAATGATTACGCTCTTCAAACACTTGTATGCGTGGTTATATGGTAATTTGCTGATATTTCCTCTAGCCTGAATAGCACACAGGTTGTGTCTGATCACGCCATACCTCTGGAGTCCTCACGAATAATCCATGGCAAAGTGTAGGACATAGCCTCTTCCTCTGTCACATGGTCTCCCTTGTTTGAGTTGTGACTTTCCAGAAGCTGCCTAAGGCGTTTCCTGTCATCTACATTCTTAGCACGCATGGCATGGCTGTGCTTGGTCCTTTCTGTGAACAGACCACATATATATTAAACGTGTGCAAGTATATGTTTATGATTTTTATATGTGATACAAGTTGGACTTCATTCATGCACAAAACTGATCAGACCAGAGCAGTTTTGGATTAGTAAAAATCCAAACTATCACAAATAAAGGTGCTGTCACAAGTTTACTGTAATAAAACTAATATAGCAAAGGTTCTCTGTATTATGACACAGAAAAGCAGCCTACTAATGACTGCCAGATGCAAATCGTTGTGATGAACCATTGATTCTGTCACACAATCCAAATATGGATTATTGATGCCCAACATGTTCAACGTGTATTTAAATCTATTAGCTCAATTGTTTACTGTGTATGCCACTAACATGCATGAGTGACTACGTGCTATCCACTCACCACTGCTTATCTTAACAATGCGATGATGTATCGCAGCAACAGTCATCTCTATATCTGCCTCGATGCCTAGAATCCCCACACATTTCCTGTCTAAATTGTGCAACAAGTAATTTATTAGTATATGTGACACATAATACAGGGGGTTAATAATGATAAATTTGACATTATTAACCTCTGATAATACCTGCATTTGATGTTAATAAAGTTAAGGAAACTATTTCTCAATGTTTAATTAAACATGTGAATATATACTTGCACGACTCTGATCTGAATTGAATAAACACAAAACCTCCACAAGGTACTCCTACACAATGTGTGTATTAGTTTATACCCCTCGCAGCTGCCTGGATCTCCTCAATCCATAGATCTTCCACTTCGTCTGCAGAGTCTATGTGAAGGAGAATTAACCAGTGCTGAAGGTCAGTCTGGGATGCCTCCAACTTCTCCATATTCTGAAAAATTTGTTGTTCAGAAATATTAATATCTGCTTCAAACTGAAATATTCTTGTGCACATGCATACAGTGTATAAGCCCATTATAACGCGATGGTTGGGGTTCATAAAATGTCATCGCGAAAAAAGTAAGGTCACACTAAATTGGGATTATATATATATATGTGGCTATATAAGAGCAAAAAAAGAGGGTCCAATGACTCATCACATTATATACGAATTCGCGTTAAATCGGAGCGCGCAATATCAGGGTCCCCACTGTACCTTCACATATCTAACTGCCAGTGCCCGTGACATGCCTCTGATTTTACGCATGTTCCAGAAGAACGCTGCATTAGTCAGCTCGTCCTCACGTCCTGAAATTGAATCATGAAGTTATGACTAGACCTTGGAAAAAATGAATAATACTTACCATAATGTGAACAAAGTTACACAATTTCGGTCAAGAATATATATATATATAAGTACACGAGCGTGTAAGTGAGCGTCTCAGAGGGGGACAGACGTATTATTTGCACGGTGTATATTACGTGACTACACGGTTGGCTGTAGCACAAGATGCAGATGGCAAGTGCAAAACCAGGTGAAGTGTCTGAAAATAGAGTAACACAGGAGAATAGGCGGTGCTCAAGATAATAGTATCTTACTAAATGAAAGAGCAGGTGCATTGGTTAATCTACAGGTTTTGTGAAAAACTACAACAGTACAATAAATGTATCAGGTAAGTTGGCAACGAATGGAAGAGCTGCATTAGCATGATTATTTCTAAAATTCTAATAGGTATGATATTCCCTCTCCACCAACTGTTTCACCAACGCGAACCGATAGTTTTCCCCCTTTGGCACTATGCAAGTTGTGAAAATGTTAACATGCATGCATGGCAGAAATTCATCGATCCACAGTACAGCTGTAAGTTGGGAAGCGGGCAACGTTTAAAATATCTTCACCTCTGTTGAAAAGAAAAAGCATCACCTGAAAAAATTAACAACATGAAAAAATTTCACAACCATTTGCTAACCACCAGTTAGTTGCCCATGAAGTATTTTTCTTACCGCAGAAACAGTATGACAAAAACTCTTCTAATAAAAACACGAAGAGCATCAAGTCAGAATGTAACTGCAGTAGGTCAATCTTTGGGGCACTGGGGGTTTGTGTAGTACCCATATTAAAACAGTCGCGCTACAAACTATTATCAATGCTTGGCCGACCTAATAGTTTCCTGATGTACCATATAAATCGAAAACTCTTTTTAGTTTTCACAACAATGCCAATAATGGCAGTATAGAAAGTAAAAATTTACAAAAATATTATTAAGAATAATAAATGAAAACAAATAGCTATGCTTTTAGTCACTACTGATATAAACAGTACTCATGACAATGCCTGGAATTTGAAAGCCTGTGCATACACGGCTTACAAATTTGATAATATAGCTTGTGTGACTGGATTACATAAATGCATGGTATTGCTACCACTTGTAAGCTGGGGTTAATAGAAAACATCGGCTAGAACTTTCAATCACCTGCTTTACTCATGAAGCGAGTTGTGCTCCGTAAGCGCGACATATAAGAAAAGCACTGCTCAGTTTCTTCTCCTGTGGTGGCAGCGGCACCCTCCTGCCATTTCCCACTCCATAACACCTGAAATTAGTTGTTAAAATAGAATGCATCAAAATATAAATGATATTTATTTATAAAATAAACAGTCTGCAAAAAGAAAACAAATGCACTTGTTCACTGACGGCAATCAAATTTTAATATTGATATACTTTGAAGATAATTATAATCATTGATGACAATAGGCTGAAATTAATAAAAAAGCTTTTAATGTAAATATGTTGTATATTTACTACCATTATAAGTTCATGACATACCTGACAATGCCACGCATGCGCATTGGCATGCATAACACTCAGGAAGGGTTTCATATGCGTGACCAAATCACGCACTTCCTCAGAGGAGGTTGCCTTTCTCTGTAGCCACGGCCAATAGCGGCACATCACGTCTGTGCAGAAGAACTTGCTGCCATTTTTACTGGCAACAAATTTCTGTAGGAAGAGGGGGTACGCGAAGACCTCGCGCCTCGTCATACTTAAACTGCCCATCATAATGTTACGCCGGCAGGCCACAACTTCTAGTCCTGTCTCGTCCAGTGGTCTACGAGATGAACTGTTCACTCTGGCAGCAGTCCAATCACCGCAGGCTGATATCATTGCATAACAAAACAAAGCCTGGTTATAACAATATCTCAGAATACATTTTTGATGCCAGTGATTATACAATTTAGTGGGGAACTATACAACTGTGAATTTGTGATTGACAGCATTTATCTTCAGGGATGTGTGTAGTGCAGACTATGGCATCCTATGCTATACAGCTAGGTTAGACATGGACAATGAATCCATTAGGGTCTACTGACTATACAGCGATCTGTGTTAAACATCGAATGTTATATGTAGAGGAGTAGAGTATATTTTATAAAACAGTACAGTATACCTTTTCTTTACTGGATGGAAAACTGGTGTAGGCACCAACAAACTCCTGCACCACATTACTATCTGCAACAAACTTCCCCTCAAAGTATGAAGTTCCCACACCTCTGCAATAAATAATATGGGTGGTATTTTATTTTTGTTTATAAAATGCATTTTTCAAACAGGTTCACTCAGTTCATTTACAAAAGTTTATGGGCTAAAAGAACAAGCTTTTCAGCATGATTATCTTAATCCTAAATAAAGTTATGTGCCAGCTGTTAGAACAGTAATTTGTTAACAGTAGGTTAACTTACTTCTCTGTTGATGTCTTTGAAAATTATGTAAAAGCAACACAATGGTCAATTGGCTCACTTTGGAACATTTGCGAAATGGTAAAGTTTCATGTTGCCATCGGCATGTGCAGCATGCTGCCCTTCTGAACATGCCGGGCATTGCAAGAAATCCTGCGTAGTGAGCTGGGATAACTCAAACTGGAGGTTTCTCCATTCTCGAAATGCCCGCCCAAATACATGAGTAGGGATGGAGGCCTTCTACAAAAAATGTATACACCATAACTTAAACACTTACAATGCTCATCTCACATGAAGTGTCTGTTTCAGTATGAAATTTTAGATTATATTCTTACAATATGAATTAGGATGATTGAAACTAACCCTTCCACACTCCTTTGACATCTGAGAGATTGCTGACAGAAACCTGGATTCAGGAAACTCAGGGCAGATATTGTGGAAGGAGTTCCATGCTCTGAAGAGTTCCTCAGAGAACACTACCGACACTCGGACTGGAGTACCTGGCCACCATCTGTTACTGACCAGTAACTCCAATGATGGCTGGTGTGTGTTACAGCCACACTCACCACAGGTGTATCTTGGGAGATACAGATCATATCTTCCTGTATGTACAGTAAAAACGCACCATATACATATGACTGTTATATAAACAATATAAATTATCATAAATCTTACATTTTTGCATATAAATTGCTATAATGCTATCAAATCAATTGCTAGCTTTATACTGGACATATTCAAACCATTTAGCGTAACAGCCGACACTCCAGCTCCCACCGTCACCTCCTTCTTGCTACTGCCGCAGTCCCCACAGAATGAATTTGTACGAAGGCGCAATGGCAGCACTCTTTCTGTGGAATTAAAGACTACATCATTTCTAAGATGTAACGCCAATACATTATCATCACTGAGTAATTTTTTGCGACAATGTGATACGAGCTACCTAGTCAAGAAGGCGAAACATCTTGAAATTAATTTACGTAAAAAATATGACATTAAATTCAATTTACAACCCAATACTGGGTTGATAAACTCATATAATTTCTTCTTCTCCAGCTAAAATGCAGAACTAGCACGTACGAATAGCAATGATACGATTCCCAACCGGATCGTAATGTTGGCATGTTGTCAACTCGGTCCACTGCCCTTCAGCCTGCATTTTCCTGTCGTGCAATGGATGCTTATTGTGTGTATCGTCGTCACATGCAGCACACAAACACGCATTGCACTGCCGGCAGTATATGACACCTGCAAAAGCATAAATAGATCTCGCATAACAATGTGTTTGTATTATGATGTTTGTGTTACATCGCCAGGTCATACGACTTCACATATTCCTATAACAACAAGTATTTCATATTATATTCATGACAAATATGATCTCTCTAGAAGATTTATCTGCACTTGTTTTTATCAACACTGCAATGTAAGAGCAGAATTACTTCTATGTGTTCAATATGTATAAATTTTGCATGTATGTGTTTAAAATTATGTACACAATTTTAAGTCTCAATTAATTGGTGGAGTCCTAAGAATGATAAATTATTATAGAAACTAAGTATACCTTGTGAAACCTTGCACATAGTGCAGCTTACATCTGCACTTTCTCTTGACAATGTTGCTCTCAGCAGGCGTTGTCTTACTGATGCCCAATTGTCATTCAAATTCTCCATCTCTTTCGTGTGTCGACTACGGTCGAGACCTTGATCACTGCGCACTTCAGCAACATCTTCAGCTATAACGGGTGGCATTATGATGGAGTCTATATAGACTTCCAACGCTGGAACATAACATAACATTTAAGACCAATGTCTCTTTGTGTGGCTATACATTTACTTTTAAGTGAAAAAAACGTTACTAGTCTTACAGAGTTAACAAGCTCCCATGCAATTCTCATTATGTTATTATATACCTTCGACAGCTGCATCCTGAATAGGTACTTCAGTAGCTATTTGAAAAAAAAGAATATTGTGTCATTATTATGCCCATAAATAAATGAGACAGCTATAAAACGTTAATTTCAGTAATTACAGAGTATATTTTTATAAATTCTTCTAATATATTTCAATTTTAATTTTAAAGAAATATGACTACCATTCTATCAAGCGCAAATAAAAATAAAATCCTGATATTATCATTAATAACTGTGTGATAAATAATGTATTTTAACATAAAATACAGATGCCCATACTAACAAGTAATGAGATCCAGATAAAATGTTTACAATTCTCAGATTTTGATGCTATTTCAGTTGTCCACGTGTGGCATCAGGTTATATAACATTCTAAGGTACACTCTATTAATTTGCCTTGTGATAAATTGCTCACCTTCCATACCACAATCATTCTGCACAAGCTGACTTTCAGTGTAGATATCAGTTGTGGTGCCTATTGAAGCAGAAGAAAAAGACCAAGTTTTTAATGCATAGTCAGTCAAACTGCCTAATTCAAATGAATACACTCAAGGAAACACCCAAAGTTTTAGTAATAATCATGTTTATATTCTACATATGTTGGTGGCTGTAGGCATACTGTTACAGTAGATCTGTGTTTCCACAACAAGTTCCACGTATTAAAGGGATAGTTTACTCTAGGTTCTAGGGTTATTTTCAGTTAATTTAGGTTAAAATTACGCTAGATAAAAAGTTTCATGGTTCAATCACCATTAGAAATATTATTAAAAAATGTTTTAAAACTAACGACTACAGTTCGATTACAACGACGGTGGCACCACTCAAAGCGCATGATCTGATAAGTTGCGCAAAACCACTTTTCAGTTAAAGGCTACAGACTGAGGGTGTTTCTTATTTATTCATTTAAAAGCAAAATGATTGTAATATCTTATAAACGAAATATAGTTTCAGTTATAATATGGATAAATTTGCCCTAAAATGAATATCGTTCGGTTAAATAGCATTTAGGTATAAATATAATTGCACTTTTGTGATTAGCCCTCGGTCTGTAACGTGCAAAATAAATTGTCAAATACGCAATGTGATTTCGTATTGGAATTCACTGCCTTCATCCTTAGTAAATAGCAAATTCACAACTTTTTCCGCTGCGATCCGCAGTGTGGATCTACCGACTTGATCCACTCTCTCCATCTTCGTTATAGTCTCCAGGACTTTTGAAGATTATCACTTATGAGGTTATGAGGTTATGTGACCTGATTCCTAGCTGAATTTGAGCTCACCTTGACATTGTCAAGATGAGCTATACTATTGCCATGGGGCGTTGTCCGTCGTACGTCCGTCCGTTCGTCCGTCTGTCCGTCAACATTTGGCTACGGTCAACGATAACTTGAGAACCGTTTGACCCACATGTTTCAATTTGCATACAGTTGTTACTCCAATGGGAGAGATTTGAACGTCCTGTTTTTGAGCCCGCCTACTTTTTGGCAAAAATGGAATTGGTCATAAGTCGGTTCCGGTTTAATGGATTTTGCTCATTTTTGGTATGTGAATGAATAAGGACTGGCCCCAAAACATCACACGGGTTTTGATATTATTTTAAAATTATGCAAATAATTAAGGTAGATTTTGGCAATTTCACTATGCATTTAAGTGTCTGCCTACGGTCAACGATAACTCAAAAACCGCTTGACCCACATGTTTCAAGTTGCATACAGTTGTTACTCCTATGGGAAAGATTTGAACGTCTTATTTTGGAGCACGCCAATCGACCTACTTTCTAGTCATGCCTACTTTTTGGCAAAAATGAAAATGACCATCTAGATTAATTCATTCGATTTTGTAAAATTTGTGTATGTGAATGTGTAAGGCTAGCCCCAAAAACAGTTGTTACTCCTATGGGAGAGATGACAACGTCCTATTACGTTTATTTCGTCTAACTGGTCAACAACTCTACAATCATACCTACGTGTAATATTGTGTTTTAGATTCTTCGTTATAGTAATTTGACTGGAATATTTTATTGTTTTTATTTGTGCGATATTCGAAAACCAAAATGGCAATCATTCAGGTGTAGCGCCATCTCTCGCCCAGATTTCAGACTCAGATCTCAAACATTTATTTTCGCATCAAAAATTACGCATATATATCATTATCAAGAGTATATAATTGGAGATATGCTATATAATGGGAGTTCTCCCATATATACTCTTGCTTTATATATCCCCCTCCCTCTTCTATCACACCCAATGTGAGCTACAGTGTCATTGACACTTTTATTCTTTGTCAGTGACAATATTCCATTCCCTTTCTCCCATCTTCCACTCCCATACATGCCATTCCCATTCACCCAACCTCCATTCCCATTCGTGCGATTCCGATTCCAGGCCGTTCCAATTTCCCCGCCGATCCAAATCCGTACACACATGACTACTCGCCTAATTTGCCGACCGTGATGAAAAAAGTACCGCATCTCGTTAACCGACATTACACATCAATACGGCAGCGTCTTAGCAGCAGCAGCGTAGAGTCTAATACTGCATTACCTCGCGTGAATAATCGCTAATTAATTAGACTTCTCGTACGTACGCCCATAAACTCAAAATTCACAGAGACCATAGCCAAGATAGGTGTTTATATTAGACCGAATAATTCTGTCCCAGATAACTTTTTTTATATTTTGGTGCGGGTTATTGGCCCCAATAACCCTCACCAATATATAAAAAAGATTATATGGGACAGAATTATTCGGTCTAGTGTTTATATGTATCTGTAGATTTTTCGAAATGTACCTCAACTCGTTCGCTCCATGTGATAGTAACTGCACTTTCTTACCGGCAGTATGGCCGCGTCTGTATTTAAGCCTATGGGCATTACCTCGCGTGAATAATTGCTAATTAATTATGCTAGCCGCACACTCTACGATTTTGCACTGTGCACAGCACTAAGCCCTCGCACACTATACGACCCGCTCCTGATCGATCGGGAGGCCACCGCACACTGTCTGACTCAAAGTTGGCGCAAACCATTGCACTCTCGTGGCGTTCCAAGTGGATTTAGCGTGTACTAAGGGTCGGGAGTGTTTCCCCTAGCAGCAAGCAAACGCACTTCCAGCATTTTTTTCAAAATGAAGTTAAATCCAATCTGTGATTGGTCAATTTTCTTCAGCGCTCGGCGGCGGGTCGGATGGCCACACACACTATCCGAGTCGCGTAGTAAGCACTCGCACACTATACGACCCGCTCTGCTCTCGATTCAAATTTCGAATCGTGCCAAAATGACCTCCCGAGCCAAACTTAAGCCTCTCGAGCCAAACTTAAGCCTCCCAA